GGGGGGGGGGGGCGTGGTTTCGTTCGGTTCGTCGATTCGTTCGTTTTCGTGCGTTTTCGTCCGTTCTCCTTCGTTTTCGTTTGATTACGGCACGCAGTGCATCGATGCTGCTTGGGGAAGCCTGAAGCGCTTCATGCCGAAGCAGGTAAAAAGAAAAGGAAAAATGAAAGGCGTCAGCTGCATGAATGCAACGTTGGAACGCCGTGTGTACCAATGGCTCTGGCGCAAAAACCTCAGAGCTGATGGAGATGTCACGGGACAAGAGTTCCTGGTGCACTTGTCGAAGGCTTGCCGCTGGAAGTGAAAAGCAGCGTATGGCGGTTTTCCCGCTGAGCACTTTGGTGAAAGAATTGACCAATTGGGACCGTTTGAAAACCGACAGAGCAGACTATGGCTTTTTTAAGAGAGAATGTCACAGCTTTCATGCCATGTTGCTACAAAGAGAATTTACACCAAGACTGAGTCCAATCAGTTCGTGGAAGGGAGTCCTTCTCTCTGAGCATTGTGTCTCACGCTTAAGATGATTGATCCCAATTTATCCTGATTGCTGATGGAAACAAACTCTTATTACTCAGGTACTTGAAATAACAAAAACTAATGTCCAATTGTCGTAGAAGGCACTGATCGCCTCACGAACAGCTTCCATGTAAGCGTCGAGACCCAATGCAAGACGCGCCGTCCGACAAATAGATAGGTGTCTGGACAATGGAGGCCCAACTTGATCCACTGTCTGCGGGTACGAATACACTCGTCTCAATGTGCTTCTGAAGTGCTTCTGCCTCGTCACGACTGGTGCACTTGTACATCGACACGTGATGCATGTTGGAGCCGACGTTGATGCAGGGCAGCACACAAAGGGCAACTTCCATATGGTGACCCTCACGTCGATCACCAACACCGTCTGAAGGAGTTTGATGCCCTGTGGGGTGAGATCCATCGGACACTCGAAGAGGGTCAAGGCCCCCAATAACATCAACCCAAGGAAGCGCAAGAAGGCTTTGCCCAGGGGCTCGCTGCCCTTCCACAAGGTCGTGTGCTGTGGCACCCGCCCATCAACCGAGGAAAGATTCAGTTCCAAAGTTGCAGGCATTCGCCACATCATATATAATAAAAGCACCCAACAGCAGAAGTTTCATCATGGTAGAGGATCAATGTGACACGCAATACTGTGAGCCCAAGCTACAGCCGCTCAAACGTCATGAGTCACTACGATAGGCTGCAACAATGAGGATGGACATGTCGAATCCGCTTGCCGCATGACGAAAAATCAAACAATCCATCACGTCTACTTGCACGTTTAGTACATTCTCTTGTTCACCTGCAGTCGTAGTCTTCAGACACCCTCAAGTACTCACCACTGCCAGTTCGAGTTGAAAATGCACCTCATGGCGCGGTGTTTAAAGAGGCTTTTCGTCTACCTCGGTTGATTTTGTTTATCCTCGGTGTCACCTGTGCAACCCCAGTCCCTATCTCTAGGAGGCTTCCCGGTTTCAGTCGTGGTGTCCTGCTTTGGCACCCTTCCTTTTGTACCCTTCTCCTTTGGAGGCTTTCGCGCCACCACCCGAATTTCGAGATTCGAGACGGATGAACCGTTCCTAAAAGACCGGATCACTTCTCCCTGGATCCCTGTTTGTCGGTTCTCCATCTACCACCACCAGATCTGAGTTAACAAATACAGCTCATGGCTTCATGGCACGATGTTGTTTAAAGAGGTTTTCCATCTACCTCGGTTGATGTTGTTTATCCTCGATGTCAACTGTGCAACCCCCGACCCTATCTCTATGAGGCTTCCCGGGTCCAGCCCGGAAAGCTTCCAAAATAGAAAAGGACTGCATGGGACATGTCCTGGGAATAGGGTTTTGTAGTGCAATGATAGCTTATTGGTGAGGCCTTTGCCTCTGATCTGGTTAATCACTCTCCTAATTAAACAGTGATGTTTTCCTCTGGCAATTGTGTATTATATAATATGTTCACAGCTGATGCAATTGAAATATGCAATCTGTGCCCTTACCAAGGTCTTCCTACTCTCAACACGCTTACCTCTTGTTCAATGAGTCTTGTGTAACTTCTTGTTTCTCACTTCTTGATTATATCCATGTATGTGCAAATGTGTGTTTTGGATAATACGCACAATCAAACAAGGATGAATCTATCAATAAAAAATGAATTAAGCAAAATTCCAAATCATTGATTGGCTCCTACATCTCATAGTTCCTCTTCTCTGAGATGTTGGCTGGTCTGTTCTATTGATAGTTAAACAAGTTAGCTGCTAGCTCATTGTCTTCATATTCAGTGTTTCCCAATGGAAGTACTTGTCCAGTCTCCTTATTTAATTAACAAGCCCTCTAAGTGCTACTTCTGCTACTTTAATGTTACTTCTTGCGTGTCTCTTTCGTTGTGCAAACATGGTTTTGAAGATTACATTGCATGGGCGGATAAAGAGTAAGTAGGAGGGACAAGAGCTAACAAGACACATGTAGTGACTAGTGACTAGAATCTAGAAAGGACTGCTGTGAGCGCAGGTACATCCCCCAAAAAGACCTTTATAATCTGCAACCCACAACAGGCCATCCTGGAATGCCTAGAATATTGATTTAAATGCATAATTGAAGGATTCCAGGTTTTTGACACCATCAGAAGCACGTCAAATGCGCATTTAAAGCAAACTGGGCAACAAATGCTCGAGAACCCCAGAGAGCAATCACCAAGCTTCCACCAAACAGCCAAATGCAGTCAGTCTTTTTTCATGTTAGCACCGCTGGAAGTAGTCCGTGTTCTATCTACGCCAGGATGGCGAATTTGGAGGGCCTTACCGTGCGAATTTGGGCGGGCTTTCCTCAGTTGGCAATTGCTACAACCACTAGTCACTAGACCACCCTTTTGCTCCGTAGCTACAGACAGTTACAACCTCAACACACACACACACACACAAACCACCACCACCACCACCAGCACCAGCACCAGCTACCACCACCACTACCAAAATCACCCCACCACTACGAGTTAGTACTTCTAGTAACTACACAGGTTTTCTCGGCACCGACAACAGCACGGTGACACGGTCCACACCTTCATGGACAAGGTCTTTGGCAGAAGCATTGAAAGGATCTGCTTCCCGGTCCTGTGCACATTCACTCCACGAGTGCCTTGAAGTAGGGTACCCCCAGAAACCACTGGTAAAGCCATATAACAAGTAATTAGATGGAATGACACAAGTAAGTGGTGACAAGTAGTCATAAGTAATGATATAAGTAAATAGAACTAAATAGTCTAAATAGTACTAAAATTACATCTAAATACATAAACAAGCAAACACAAAATAGCAAAACACATGGTTTTGACGCTTATGAGTTCATGATGACATATTATCAGTACAAATATATCACAACATATCATATCACGACATCATGTATTGAAAATAGATTGAAACTGGGTCCTGTGGGTTTTTCCCCACAGCGTTGAAACGCCGTTCACCGTCGACCCCATGACCCCATGACCCCGTTTCGTCCGTCCGGCCAAAGAGTCCGGCCCCATGACCCCATGACCTTCGTCTAAATGAGAGAACACCATATGCGTAAGCTGTAGTTTAGGAGAGGAACATCAGCGATGGGGGGTGTAGTGATCACTAGGAACATCTAGGCAAAACCCTTTCAAAGCTCCTAGATTGGAATTCTGGAAGATCAATCATCCACTCCAACCCATGGAGGCTGGAGGTCTCCCTATCAAAACTTGACTGGAGGGTTTCCCATCCTCCCTTCACAGCCCCTCCCTTCATGGCCCCCAAGGCTGCAGAAATGCTCCCCGGGCCCGCCGGCCAGAGCGGTTTCGGCTTTAGAATTGCTGGGGTTGGTAGTTGACCTGGGCGGAAAGGGGGGCGGCTCCGTGGGCGGAAAGGAGTGCCGTCTCATGTGAAGTGGGGGAGCTTTTTGGGCCTGAGAAGAGAGGCAAGATCCCGCAAGCACGACTAAGCACCACCCAATAAACCGCATGGTACTCTACTCACTTCTATTTTTTTGGACCATCAGGAGAACACCAGCTCCTCTCCAAGCAGAAATAACAACCCCTAAGGAATCGCACTCGTTTCTGCCGCGATGCGGTCGAGAAAAGCCTTTCCCGCAGAGTTTTCCCCACTGGCATGGACAAAGCCACCACGCATGCGTCTTTCTGGAGCTGGCCCGAGGAAAGAGCCCAAACTACGTAGCCTGGATGTTGATCTTAAATCTTGTGCTTTCACTGTTGGGACCAGTGGAGTTTTTGGCTTTTGTCTTCCAGCAAAAGCTGCTCACTGAGCCTCACATTCGCATGTTCCCTGAGGTTCCTAGCTTGAACCATTGGCCACCATGTGTCCTTCACTATGAGCCCTTGCATATCGTGTTGCTATGGAGTCTTGATTGATTATGCGTTATGCGTTTTAACACTACAGCTAAGGCTAAGGCATGCAAGGCAAGTGATCAGTGATCCTGTCATATCAAACTGCATCATGAACACAACTGCGTGCAACACCCCCGCCTCTGCCCTTTCCACCACCTCATGTTGATCTTGCTCATCACCCTCTTTGCGTACACACACACAAGGTGCAAGCACAGCCGACTGGGCAAGTCCGGCCATCCCACACAGGGAGCCACATGAGGATGTTCATGACCAAGTCCTGACTCACCAGAAAACGCGCTGAACAGGGCGCCGAAGTGAGACTGGTGACCCACCAGGAGGGAATAAAAACACAATATAACAAAAAAGAAGCTGGTGACCCTGGTGGAGACCTGTAGAGCTTATTTCAAAGCAGTTTGATCTTTTCACCAGAACTCTTTCCTTGGACTCTCGTGCGACTCCAAGGTAAAGAAATTGAGGATGCCACCAATGAAAAACGACCACCTTGACAGATGGAATTCTCCAACAAGAACTGTCTGCTCCGGATTGTAGTATCCCAGCTCGACACTGTCGACACTTCGCTGCGATGAATGTCAGGGTCCATGAGGGTCACAGTGCTTGAAGGTCGCATGATGTCTTTTGGTCGTATCTTCCGGGTCTTCCTAAACCCTTCAGTGAACCGGTTTTGGAATAGACGCAGCGTTCTTTCGCTGTTCCAAACCAAAGAGAACTGCGCTACTTGTCCGGTCAAAACCCATCATAACCCTACCTGATTTGTCCGGAGAGCAGCTCGGAGGAACCCCCACAATTCACCATTCGCACATGAATAGGGAGCCCTTTTTGGGGGTTGGCCCGGCCCTCCTTGGACTCTTGTATGCACTGGTTCATTCTTCCGCGCCTTCTCCATATAGGTATCTCGCTTGGTGTACTTGGCAGTGGCCAAAAGGCTGTCCTCCCAAAAGGTTGTGTGACAAGAAGAGAGGGGTTCCCCCGTCAAGACGTCTCTGCAGGGGTGAAAGCGAGATGATCCCGGCATGGCAGGAGACCATATGAGCCATACTAGCTATCATACAAGCTCCTGCAAGGGAAAGGGCCAAATGAACTAAGTGTTACGCATATGCCCTTGCCCATCACTCTATCACACACAACTCACAAGATAATCCATTCTACCACCGTTGTTTGGCAGTGTTGCATCCACATTTTAATTGGCCATGCTCTGGGCGGTACAGGGGAGCCACACGCAGACCCGAGTCCATACCACAGACCAAGAAAACATCCAGGGAACGTCAGGATGCCAGCTTACGCTCTGGACTCTGGGTTTGTCTTACCATACTATAGTAATATTATAAGTATGTTATAACTTAGTTAAGGTGTCAAACAGACTTCCATCAGGGCACTATCCCAATCATTCCATGCAGGTCAACTCCTCAGCCCACAAGCTGCCCTGTGGACGTGGAAGGTTGAGGGTACCAGTTGCAGAGTGGAAGACAAATGGTCAACTTGTCAAGAGGTAGTGCACATAAGGTGTATGCTAGTGTATATACCTCCCATTTTGGTGTACGAAACATCCTCTGCTTCCCTGGCCATCACCTTGCGGCTGTTCTTCGCAAGACGGCTCTTGAAGCCATGATGTCAAGAGGATGAAACTCGGAGAACATGCCATCTGTATGAAAAAATACTTACAGGACTACTACTCAACTAACTCACCTCAACTATTTCTACACATCCCACCGTACCCACCGTACCCGCTGAAGCGGTGGTCGTCTTCATCCTGGACCACGCCCATGACCGGTTTGTTGCCCTGGGGAGAGACCACCTGGCGGCCGGCAAAGGGGCCTTCCGCTGAGCACCACATGGGGTGTCGGTGTTTTCAAGAGGGAGACCCTGGTTGGCCCCATGGGTCTTTCTCTGTTTGACTCTATTTCCTTTTTTCCAGAAAATCGAACTGGGAGGTCTCCGTCTCCCTACTTTTCATACATGACATGGTTCTCTTGAGTATCCGTGAGTAAAAAAGGCACTGCGCATGACAAGTCAATGATCAAATTGCATCCAACATCAACCAACTTGTTCAGCGAAACGGATCAGAAACAATGTCTATATCGTCTGCCCCTCCCCTTCGTCCGAATCATGAGTCTGACCTATCCGAATGCATCTGAATGCCAAACGTTTGGGCCCGGCCTGCCGAGGATTCAGCATCATGTGCTTGATCTCCGCACGCGTCTCGTGAGACTGGCACGCACGACGTGCATGCAATCCTCGTGGATGAGTTGTTCTATTGTCTGGAAATGTCTGGAAAATGGTATGTAGATGTATGTAGTGTCGATGGAAGAGATCTAGCACCTCAAGACTTGTGGAAGGATGTGGAAGGCAAAGCCGGAAATCAACCCCCTGATGGTTTCAAGGACAATAACAACCTTGATAGGGATGATGGCTTTCTAGATGTTGTTGAAGCACCAGGCTTTTTTGGTCCGGGGTAAACCAATGGGTCATCCAGTTTTTTCTTCTCCTCTTGGATGGGACCAGTCCGCCATGCGCGCCAGAATGGCCCCTTCCTGTTCTAAACTTTACCGTCGGGTTGCTCACAGACAGAGGGTATGCTACTTGAGGCCGAGGGTAGGTGACGAAAGCTAGCAGGGATGCATCCGTGTCAGTGGAGGCGAAGCATACAGCACCGTCCAGTGACAAAGGACTGGTGGGACATCAAGCGGAGTGAAGCAAATCGTTTTTCATATGCATGGGGCTGTTGGAGGGATGGTTCACACGGTCTCGCTCATGAGGTAAAACGTTGTGAACATGTAAGACACACGAACAGCAATGACACAGCCGACCTTAGCTTGTGAATCTGTTGAATCTGTTGCATCGTATCCCAAAACCTCCACGGAGGAGTTGAACCAAAGTGGATGTCATAAGAGGTGTCCAAGAGGTGTCCCAGAGGCGTCCCAGGGGGGAGTTGAACCCGCGAAAGGGGGGGGCCCTCTACATATGAAGTTTTCACGTGATGCGGCGATCTCGAGGATTCCAGCCCCTCACTTGCTAAAGCAAGGAAAACTCCAGCTAGCTGGTGCTAGCTTTCGTGAACATTGAAATGGCCCTTCCTTCACTGTATTTTGCCATACACTCTCAATCGTAAGTAACGACGATAAGAGTCAAAGGATGTGTGACAATAGGTAGCTTCCGAGGAGCAGAAGCTAAAGCAAAAGTAGAAGCAAAACCAAAAGCAAAAGCAACAGAGAAAGCAAAAGCAGAAGCAAAAGCAGAAGCAAAAGTAGAAGCAAAAGCAGAAACAGGAGCGAAAGCAAAACACTACTGGAAACAAATCCCACAAATGGCTGGAAAATAATCCCACAAAAGACATCCGGTTCCGTCCAACATGTCTGTGCTGCTGCAATTGACGTGTCATCGCACCCACATTACACCCATGCATATGGTGACCCTTCATGAACGTCGCTGGTTGCCAATGCATTGGGCCTATATGATAGGAGCACCCAATAGCAGTCCCCCTAGAAGTATGATGATTGTTGATCATTGGTATATCATGGGATCGGTTATTGTTGATCATTGGTATGATTGATCATTGGTATATTGTAGATCATCCGAAGAAAAACAAAACGAAGAACATCGTCTGCACCTCGCTCATCTGCCCATGTCGACTTTTCGGGAGAGATCTCACTGCCTGGGCGAGGTGTAAATTCATCTCATCCCCATCGAAGTCCGCGTTGTAGGGCGAGGTCACTGCCTGAGTCAAGGGCAGTGTTTCGAGGTTACGGCATGGCCCCTTGGATGGCCATCTTCCTCCACAAACAGGTGGTTTTGAGGTACATGTTGCATTTGTGTCATTGCCAGGGCCCAGTGGATGATGATGATGATGATGATGATGATGATGATGATGATGATGATGA